ATGCAATCATATTGCATGCCTATCTCGTTTCTACAATCATTCTAGTTACTGAGGCGATCATTCAATTTAACTTTTTTTTGTTTTGTCTATTTAATTAATTACATAATTTAATAAATAGTACTTTCTTATCATTTTATATTAATCTTACTTTAATTAATTAATAATTTCTTTTTAATTTATTTTATCTATTATTTATTCCATTTTAAAAAACATCATTACAATTATTCTTTTTTTATTTTCTTAATTTATTTTCTCATATCATCTATTAAATTCATAACAAAATTTATTAATTTGTTTACATATTTATTAAATCAAAATGATTTCCAAAATTTATTCTTTTTAATATTTTGAATTACCTTTACCTAAGTATTATAGATTATAGCTAAATTAATCTACTTATCAATTACTTATCCAATCAAATTTAATTCTTATTAATTATTTATTCAATCAAATTCAATTCTCCTAAATTTATATTCAATTAAATTCAACTCTCCTAACTATCATAATTTACCTCATTCTTAATTGAATTTTAATTTATTTATTCTTCTCCCATAAATATACACACACAGACACATACATCTGCTTATATATTTATATACACACAACATATACTCATATTTATTATGTACATATTTATATATATATCATATTATTTCATTTTTTCTTAAAATTTATATTATAGGATACAATTATATAATTATAATTATAAAACTTATAACATTTCTTAAAAAAATCTCCCTTTAGTACTATTTATATTATTGACATATATGTACATATTGTGTTAATGGTACTTATCTTTATTAAAACCCATTTCTATATATAAAAACTATACCTACATATATTCTTATATTAAACACAAATGCACCATGCATACATGTATACCTAGTTATAGTACACATTTTTTTTTTTCTAAATGTATTCATTTATCATATTCTTCTACTCTTACAACTTACACCATATTCTAAATTTTATGACTATAATTATAAAGTTTATTATTGTTATTTAAATATATATATAATTATATCTTCATGCATTGTTGTTTACATATATAAATACTTATTAAAACATAAGGATTATACATGCATAAAAAATATTATATTAATCATATATACCCATATATGTGGTAATACCCGGACCCGAAAATCGGCCCGAGATGATTTTTTTTATTTTATTTAGTTATAAAAAATATTTTAATAATTAATTTTATTTATTTTAATGTAATTTTTATTAAATTTTTTAGAAAAAATGAATTATGAACGAAATTGAAAGTAATTTTGGAGAAAATATGGAAAATTTTGAATTCACGGGTATTTTTGAAAGAAAAATTAAAAATACGGGGTTAAAATAATAAAAAAGTTCATCTACGTGGAACGATCCAGTCAGCAGACCTGGTGAACCAGAGCATGCTACGTGGCAACTCCATTGACATTGGCATCATGCAGGAAGCCATGCGAGCGATCCACGTAACCAGCGATCTAATGACCTAAATCTCATCCCGTGTGCATGAACAACACATATGCGTTCCCTCTTTACACGTGATCGGACGGACGAGATGGATCGTGATGGAAGATTGACCCACGCCATCAGCCTAAACGAGAAACCATCAAACGGTCCTCCCCGCTCTACGTTAACACAAACAAACGGCTCGGATCGAACAGGAGAGGGTATTTAAACTCTTCTTCGCAGGAGAACCCAACCCTAGCTACCAGCCCCCACCGGAGAAGAAGAACCAGATGCTAGAGAAGAACACCGACACCTGATCGTCGTTGCACTAGAGCTACTGCCGACGGCAAAAAAAAAGTAAAATTTTCTCTTTCCCACTTGGAATTCAATTCTAAGTCTCCCTGTGGCCATATCGGAGCAAAAGGGATGGCAGGTGAGCTGTAAACCGTGAGCAAAACACGGCGGAGCCACAGCGGCAAAAATCTTAAAACCCCTCCAATGTGCCCCTTCTCGTTTTTCGCTTCACACAATTCTTTGACCATTGTATTCACCATCCTTTTTTGTGCAAGTTAGCCGAAGGAGAAACCCCAGCCGTGAAGGAGAACTAACAGAGCCGCCGCACCTAGAGACCCCCCCATTCCGCCAATAGGTTCGGTTTTTTAGTTTTTCTAGTCAACCGAGGCTTCTTAACGTATTTTTTTACAGGGATACATGTAAAACCGGCTAAAATCGGCCAGGCTAAGGTGAACCGCAGCCGTAGGCGCCGGAACATGGCGATGCTGTCGTGCCAGAACTCTAAAATTGGACATAAAGAATTTTTAACACTAATTTTAGATTTTTAGGGTATTTTTGAGTACGTGACGAGTATTTTGATTCCCGTAGGAAAAATTCAAAAAACTCATATCCCGTTAAAAGGGATAATGGGTAGCACAACATTTCGAAACACTGATCCCAGTAAGAATCTCTCACCATATTCCCTGTTATGATAAATTGAAGCTTAATAATCAAATATCTTTTGTTTTATGAAAATTTTAAAAAATTCTAAAAATAATTACAAGTCACTAGTAGAGTCGGAACCTATTAGTTCATATTTGCCCTGATTCACTGTGTATTTTTTTGTACTGCTTGAATTCTTTATTATTATATTGTGCGTATTTAAATTAATGATTTTAAATTGTTTTCTCGGATGTTTGGTTTACCTCACTGCACATTCCTGTGTCGATCTATTCTGAAATAAAATATCTCAACTATGTTTCTTAATATACATATCGCCTGTTTACATAACCTACTATTAATTTATGAATACGAAATATTGGTATGAAATTGACGATTGATTGATGATATAGATATACGTATGAAAGGCTTACTGAGTACCCTGATAAAGGGTGGACAGTTCCGGTACATAGGAAATTCTACTATAAACATTACCTCAACCGGACGGAGTTAAGAGGTCCCATACCATAAGGGTTTGGGAGACATGGTTCACCCTCATATCGAACGGAGTATCAAGGTGATGGTATGTTTGGCGCTCATTATCGAACGGGATATCAGAACGGCCAGGTTAACTGACAAATTTAGATATTGGGTTCACGAGTAGGAAAATATCCTAATGTTACCTCCAGGGGCTCCAGTAAGTAAATTAAAAGGAGAATTGTTAATCTTATTCACTTGTACATGAAATCATAATATTATCTGAGTATTTGTCTATATATATTGATTTTGAAAAACTTGCAATGGTAAGTATGGAATAAACGGTTTTCTCTATTGTCAAACGAATTTACTTAAATAAATAGCTATATTAGTTGTTTTGTTATTTATACCAACTTTTAGTTTTTCGTATATGTGATTAAAGTGATATTCTTACTGGCCTAGTGTAGTTCACCATTTCATTAACTATTTCATATCAAGAAGATCAAGATCCAGATCCCGATCAGCAAAATGGTTGTGAGTAATTTACCTCTCGGACTTCCTTCAAGTGTTAGTATTGGTTAACCCCCTAAAATATCTATTTATTTATTTTTAATTATCATTTTTTTATGAACCAATGTCAAATAAACATTAACGTAACCCTATTAGGGATTCCAATTTACTATGTAAGGAATGTAAACTCTAACTTTATTTTTATTTTCGCAATCAGAAAATAAATCTCTTTCTTTTAGTTTTGGACTTTTACACATGCATTAATTTATACATGATTATATGTATATATATATATATATATATATATTTATCTATTTATACATACACACATGAAAAATATACATACACAATGTATCTATATATTTACATTTTTTTTTGTTTGTTTCCTTCATACATTTATATCAAATTCATGTAAATAAATATAAATTCACATATTCATTATATTTTATATATGTATATCTCATATGCATAATATGTATACATATATATACACCATATATATATATCCTAGATAAATATATATACATATAGATGAATATAACTTAATTTTTATCACTCTCTCACTACACCAAACTGCTTTCACCATCTCTATATTTAAATTTAATTTTTTTATTTAAAATCAAGTAAACTTAAAATGTATTTATTTTAAATAGCATGCATGTTATTTTAAACTATTTAGTAAAAGAATCATAAAAAAAAAGAAAAGAACTTACGTTTGGATCGTTCGAAAGAAGAACCTACGTGAGAGGGGTGGTCACACGGTAGTTAGGCCACTTGCGGTGTCCCCTCTTAACCTTTTTTTTCCCTCTGCCACGCGGATCGTCCCAATGCTTCCTCACTCTCTTTTTTCAGTCTCTTCTCTCCCTCTCCTCCCATTCTTCCTTTCTTCTCTTATTTTCTTTTATTTGGTGGATTAGAAGAGATGAAAAAATATTTTGTTGGGTATTTATATGATGGGGGAAGGGTTGTTTAATTAAATGAGTGGGAGGGAATCTTCTCATCCATGTGTATGGTGGCCATGTGCCTCTCTTATTTGATTGGTCCTTTCCATTATTGTGAATTTTTAATTCTAATTTATTTATTTATTTATTTTTATATTCATTTTACAATATTTAATTTAATTAACTTACAAAATTTAATATTTTTTAATCAATTTTTAAGTTAATTAATTTTTTGAATTTCTTCTAATTTAATTTTATTACTTTATTAATTTCAATATTTTCTAATTATTTTTAAAATTTAATTTATTCTACTTATTATGAGTTTTAATATACATATTTAAAGAAATTTTCCTAATTTATTTTAATTTTTTAACAAATATTTTAATTCCCAAATAAATTATTTTTAAATTTAATTAATTTTACATATTTTTTTAATTTCTTCCAGAATTTCACAAATAAAATTTAGAACCAGATTTTCAAATTGTTACAAAATTATCCTAATTTATTTTAAAATTTCATATTTAAAATAATTTATTTTAATCCTTTCACTTGGAAACTGAATTTTTATATTTGCAACAATTTTAAGAATAAAAACTAAATTTGCAAATAAGTTTCACAATTTCTACTAAATTCATTCAATTATTAAACCCACTTGTTCCAAGAAAGCCTCAAAAAGGACAAAAAAAAAACAAGTAATTAAGCATCTAAACTAGCAATTTATTTAAATAACATAACATGGTTTCCCTTTGAACAATCAAAGCAGAAGCAGAGAGGAGCAGACAACTGCCCGGAAAACTATGAGAAAAATAAATTAACAAAAAAAGTAAACAAAGTTTGATGAACAACCAAATCAATTCAAGACAGCACATATATATATATATGCGCATTAAAGAAATAAGGTTGAGAGTTGAGAGAAAGATTTTATGTGGAGTAATTGAAACAACTTGTGTCCCTCCCTCATTCATCTTCATTATCCAATCTGTGCACTTACTTTCCTTTCTAAGGCTTCCAGAGGATTGTGGTTTCCGCAATCATCGAAGTCACAACATAGGGATCCATGTTCGATGCTGGCCTTCTGTCTTCGAAGTAACCTGTTCATCATCAAACAAAATTTAATCAACCCATCTTTCTCATAACACAATCTTCATACCACAAAATAAGATTCAGATTATTTTGAAAAACTGAAATCAGCTTCATAGATGAATTTGCCTACCTTTTCCAGCTTTTTCCGTGTCACGACCAACACGGATTGAGGCACCTCTGTTGGCAACTCCCTAAATGATTTGGGAAAAACATGAATGCATTATTGAATTTTACAAGTGAGAATAACAGGAACCGATTTGAACTGCTAAGAGGTAGTAAAAATAACTTACCCAAGAGAAAGTGTTGATGTCTGCAGTCTCATGGTGACCTGTCAATCTTCTTTCGTTGCCCTCTCCATAGGCAGCAATGTGCTCCTTGTGGCGTAATCCTAGTTTCTCAATCGCTTTCTTGATAACATCAATGCCCCCATCGTTTCTCATGGACTTGGTGCTGTAATTAGTGTGGGCGCCAGCGCCATTCCAATCACCCTAGTTATCGTAACAACATTAGAATAAGATGAACCAAAAGAGTACCCAACAGAGTGAACTTGCAAATTTTATGCATTCATGTGCCAGCTTAGCCAAATTGATTTTTTGCAAAATACTTGCTCCCCACTATTATAAAAAATATGACAGCAAAAATCTCGCAAGAGATAAACTATATAACAGGTAGAGGTTATAACTTAAAGAAAACAAGTGTTTTTGAGGAGTGGATGCAAACCTTAATTGGTTTGGGATCAAATGACAGGACAACTCCTGCAATCTCCGTGATCCTCTGTTCAGTTAAGCACAGAGAAAAAGATAAAAATCACCAAATGAAACAAGAATTATGAGAGAATAACTAGTTGGGGCCAAATTAAATAAGCATACCTCGAGGATGTATCGGGCAACCCACAATTGATCACCAGAAGCAATACCAACAGCTGGACCTACTTGGAATTCCCACTGAAAGCAGAAAAATCAGTAAAAAAGAAAACAAGTTACAAAAGAAGCTTAGACAAGCCAAAAATTAACAACTACCGGATGGAATATTGAGTGTATTTAATTGGTTTCCTACCTGGCCAGGCATAACCTCTCCATTGATTCCGCTGATATTGATCCCAGCATAAAGACAGGCTTTGTAGTGGGAATCCACGATATCCCTGCCAAATGCCTTGTCGGCTCCTGTTCCACAATAGTAGGGTCCCTGCGTATATAATTATTTAATACATAATAATTCCTTATATATAGTTATTATAAACAATTATTATAGACAATCTTAATTCGTTAAGTCCTTGCTTGTAAATAGTTACTCAGTTAAAAGCATTTGCAGGCAAGCTAGCCACGGATCAATTTACCTGCGGGCCGGGAAAGCCACCCACTGGCCAGCCTAGAGGCCAATGCACGTCCTTTTGGAGAAGGGTATACTCCTGCTCTATTCCATACCTGATATCAAAACATGGAAATTGGATTTGGTTTATCATTTGCCTAAAAATATTTGTTTTATCTATAAGACAGACAAAATGATCATGCATGTACAAAGAACATTTACTGTGTCCTCGATAGATCTCTGCACCTAAAACATTTTATATGCGTTACTTACGGCTGCCATTTCTCTGTGCAAAAGGCCCAGATAACACGTTTGTAATTAACCCTCAAAGAGACTTTTTTTCTAATCTCAATTTATAGCACGTTACTTGAATCTGAAGGGAATCAATTTAGTGGGTCCTTTTTGCACCTAACTTGTTAAAGGGGCTACTTTTTCCGGGTCATTTCCTTTCCGCCAACACAATCTCCACCTTTGACTTGACTCTAATAGTACCCAATAGAAAGAAACCCGCTTCCATAAAATTTGGGCAACTAGCACTAGCAGTCAGTTTAAAAATTCTCCTTTTTTCCTTTCCTAAAGTGGATGCCTTATGATCAAACTCAAGCAGTCAGTAGCACAAAAGAAGGGTAACGTCATCTAAGTTGCTGCATGCTCGTCATAAAAAGAAAATAAATCTAATTTTTTCCCAATTTTCCCAGAAAGAAACAACTACAGAAAAATCTCTACAGTTTTAAAATTCAAGAAATGGAATCCTCTTTTCTCATTTTCTTAGTCATTTAAAGGATCGTTCCTACGGAACCTAAGTAAAATATCATTCCAACCAACTTTAATATAAATATGTAATTTTATATATGTGCATATACGTTTGGAGATAGTCACTTTATGGGCGCATCTATTACATTACATATCTATAGATATACAGGAAAATAATATCTATCAAGAAAACAATGACAAGATATTTCCAAAAAAAAAAAAATAATGACCAATATAAAAATATAAATATATAAATCAATTTTGATATAAATTAGTTTTACATAGACTAGTTCAAAAAAAGTTGTGAACTTTCATAATTAATATAGTATCATTTTATTAATAGTTCCAAGAAATAATTCATTATGAATTTAACTAATAACAAATAACGTTAAGAAATAACTAGTGGCCTATTATCATAAATACAAATAATAGACATACATATTGCTTTTATTTTTTTAGTTTTTTTAAAGAGTTGTGCATTTGAGAATAATATAAAAGAATAGTTACTTATAAATTTCAATAGTGACAAATACTGCTGAAACACTAGAGAAAAATCGAAATTGAAATCTCAATATACCCATTATACTTTTATTAAGATAAAATGTAATAACTTTTAATTAAAACTAATACAACACAAATATAAATGTGTATTACTTGAAAAAATAATTTAAAATTTAATTGAAAATTAAACTGAAACTGGAATTTTAGAAAGCAAATATAATAATAATAAATGACATATTTAGAAATACTGTGTAAGTAATATAAATATAACTATATATAATATTTTTCTTTGAAGAAAAAATAATTGCACCAATTACCCATAAATGCGGTGAGTTTTTGTTCGTAATGTATTGCGATCTAGACAATTCTACTTATATTAGTTATAATTAAGAAAAAAATAAATTTTACAATTAATATTTGTTAAAATAATTAACAATGCAATATATTAATGCGCGCCTAGAGCGCATAAAAAGTAGCTTATACGAATGTAGTGTATATATATGTATCTGTGTGCGTCACGTGTGTGCGCGTCTTATATATATATATATAGAGAGAGAGAGAGAGAGAGAGAGGTCGCGCAAGGGAGTATACTATTCATTGTAGCATGAAAGGATTTGGGAACAGAATCAAACAATCATGCAGCTATAAATGACCTCAGCAAATTTCATTCATCAACGCTGAAGATACTGCTTATTTAATTTATTATTATTTTTCATCAAATTCTTAATTAACTTTCAAGCATAAGAGACAAGAAAAAAATAACCATATAATTAACGTGATATTAAATTAACAGCAAAAAAAGTCACTAAATTCCACGGTCACCAACCCACCTAACCATGTGATATTATTAATATTAACAACAACCAAGCATCACGAAATCTGAACCTTTCAGTTTACTTATTATTATATCCAAAAAAGAAAGAAAAAAGTATCTTGAGAAATGTATCTTGGTTTTATAACCATGATAAGTTATTTGACAAGGCAAAAAGAAGACAATGATTTCTCAAAATGACCAATGTCGACGTACATATCGAAGAAAACCAAAATTAATCTTTCAAAGTTGTATGTTGGGACAGATGTTATGACCATCAGACACAATCACAGCCCTCCAACTTCAGTAGGCAAATTGGTTTACAAAGACATTTTGGGCTCTTTCTGAGAAATATACATTTTAAATATAAAATACAAAACATAATGTTTTTTCATTAAATTTGTTTATTCTAAATATACTTCCTTTTTTTAATAGAAGTCAACTGAAGGCAAAGGAGTCAACAAATCCAGGGTACGAAGGTCATGGGCAACAGTAAGAGGCTACTTTGGTAGCTGGGAAGTCCAAAAAATCACGAACCATTTTAAACGAATAATAGATATGGAAATTTTGGTCTCTTGCGGCTCCAATACGACAGCAGGGGTCCCTCAATAAAGACTTTTCTTTTTCCCACCAAGAACAAAAAAATCAAATCTCTCGATGGCAATTTCGTCTTCTCATTTTTGTAAATTTCACGGAATAATATAGAATACACTAAAACTTGGTGAATTGAAACTAAGAAAAATAGAATTCTGTTGTTATTATTAGCATCTTAGTCGTATTAATATAAATGAAATTTAAACGAAAACCCTTAAGAATTCCTAAAATTATTAATAGTAAATTTGGTAAGATTTGACCTCGCGTATTGATTATTATTCATTGAATATAACTGATGATATGATCAGAAAGCTAGAAAAGTAAAACAGAAAAGAAAAGTACGAACCATGGCTCTTCGGCAACGACGTCGGGATGGCTAAAGATCTTAGCAGCATTGAACCTCTTGTTGGTCGGAATCGGTTTCCCGGCCGGCGTGTAGGCGTCGCACATAACCTATTTATGCATGTTGAAAGACCATATTACCCTTTGACTTTGTCGTTTACTGACTTCCGTATAAATTGGAAATTTAACTAAGGGAGAAAATCAGGGAGAAATTTACAGAGATTTAATTACCAGGATGTTGTTTCCCCTTCTGAACGGATCCTTAAAGACCGCCTGAGGACTGATCCAAGATAAATTACAGATAAACAACATAACTAATTTTCCGAATTATCTATATATGTAGTAGAGATATACGCTATATTCGAATATAGGTGTATACGAGTACGTATAATAAATCAGGTTGAAAATCATGACACATACTGCAAGATGACTTCACTGTCGTCTCCAGGGGCCTGGTTAGTGCTGGAGCCATCGTAGTTCCACTTCGGGAGTTTAGAAGGATCAGTAACGGGACCAGGCAAAGTCTGTTGACCAAACTCAAAATTAAAGAAAAAACAAAAAAGGAAACCATTACTATAATCTCAGAACTCAAAAATCAATCCAGCTTTCAACATCCGCAGATCATCATCGCAAATGAAAAAGAAACTGTGCTCACCCTTGCTTTGCTCCTCATGTCCATACCAGATCCGCCGATCCTACATGTTTGATCGAATCAAGAAGTCAGAAACAACAAGAGAAATAAAAAAATTAATAGTAAAGAGGAGTGGAAGCGGAAATGAACGGAGGAAGGAGGGAAAGCTGACCATATGTATTCGGCTATGATTTTGTCAGGGGTTTCGCTGAGATTGAGGTTGATGAGATCGCTGAGAACAGACATGATTGATTTTGAACTTGAAGCAGAGACACAGAGGGAGAGAGAAGGAGAGAGTTGTGAGAGAGAGGAGGGTTTAGTTGGGTGCTTAAATAGAAAAAGGAGGAGACACCTACAAATAAAATGAACCAAAGAGTAAAAAAAGGAAGAGAAATAAAAATGGTAAGAATTTAAAAATAAATAAAAAGTATATTTAAATATTTAATTAATTTCTTGGGAAGAAACAGAAAAGATTCTGCTGCCTACGGAATCTCCAAAGTAATGGAAGGGCATTTGCCAGTTGTTCATTTTGCCAATTAATTTTTTTTATTTATTTATATTTTTCTTTTACTCAAATAATAATTATTACTTTCTATATCTTTTCTCGAAAAGAAAAATATATAAATATATATTTGGCTTTCAATTTTTTTTCTTCTTTTTTTGCATATGATTATTTAATTTAAATTTTTTACATGTTTGAAATATGAATTTTGAAAATTTAAGGGTTTTTAATCAAACGGCATTGAAAATACTAAATTGAAATAATAGCTTTTTTAAAAAAAAATTACTTTACATTTATTTTTCTTAATTTTCCCAAACCCAACAAGCCCACTAATTTTCTAACTTCTTACCCTAATTTTTACTTATTATTATTAAATAATTATAATTGTGTTTATGTAGATTCTATTTTGAACTAGTATAAATGGAAGTTGGAGAAAGGGTCGAAAATTGGAATATTTGATGTAAAAGTAATTAGGTATGGTTTTATTCTTGATAATTTTAATATTTATGGTTATATAGATTATTCATCTTCTTAATTATTGTATGTATATATATATATTTAAATTCATTTTTAAAAAAATCCATGTAAGCAAAAAATTTGGTCTGATTCAATCTCATCTTTTGCTCAAACAATATTCAAACATTTTACATTGTTCATTTCTTTTTAGTTTAATTTGATTTTAAACCGGTAAATACCCTAGTTAGATGTTCATAGATTTAGAACTAAGTCAAACAAGATTGTATTATGAAATTCTTTTGGGACACTAGTCAGACCGACAACAGGATTATATTAATTTTGTTACGAAAACTAGTTTAGAATTGTTTAGTTTGATCTAAATAAATTTGGAACGCATGCTATTTAAAAATTAAATAAATAATTTCTTTAAAATAATAAATAATACATTTAATAAAACTCATATAGTTAAAGATACATATTAAAATTATATTAATTAAATGATAGAATCATTCGTAATTACTTTTACATTATACTTCAAAATAAAATTATGTTAAATTCTTATTCAATCCAATCCTTTCTCAATCATTGATCACATTCTAATTTATAACAATATAAAAGAAAACAAACTATATAAACATAATTGCAATTGTTCAATAATAACTGGTTGCAATAATTCAAAGCATTTGTAATATCATAATCTATATCAAACAATGTTTATTCATTTTGATAATTGACAAATTAATTTTACACTTGTATGTGTTGAGAATTCAAGTTTATAAATAGAAAGAAGAAACATGAATGAAGCTTTAAGACTGACAGGGATTGAAGGAAGAAAAGTACAAAAATTAAACTGTAAATTTTATTATTTATGTTTTATGTAATTAAATGAGTCAAATTAAATATTCAAGAATTATGTTTTATTTGGAAAGAAATTAAAAAAAAAAGAAGGAAAAACTCACCTTAAGATTTTCTTTTGGAAATTTATTTTTCAATTATTTTGGAAAAATCATCCTTGGTTTAAACTCATTTTTCATTATTTTGAATATAAGAATATTGGAATTATATTTTTTACAAAGTTGCCAAACAGTTGAAAACTTACAAATGAATTCCTTGAAATGATAATTCATTTAGTGATATAATTCTAAGAATTGTGTAATGCATTCTATGAAGAAATTTTTAAACTAATGTAACGCACGATATGATGAGTTGCATTAACACCATGCGCACTATAACTAAAAGGGTAAAATAAATTTTTTGTAACACCCCAATTATTATTTTTATTTTCGTATTTGAATTTTATTTTACTTTTTTTACATATCTAATTTAATTTAATAAAAATAAAAATAATAATAATGATAAAATAGGGTAAAATTATTTTTTAGATTTAATTGAAATTGATTTTGGAAAAAATGGGTGAAAATTTGGATTATAGGGGTATTTTTGAAAAGAAAATCAGAAACCGGGTGTCAAAACGCAATTTAAAAAAGTTGTGCCACGTCAGCAGCCCAGTCAGCAGCCCCGGCAAACCAGGACACGTCGCGTGGCAAGGAACGCTGACACGGGACGGGCCACGTGGGCGATCTGCATGGGCGCGATCAGACGGCCCAGATTCGTTCCCGCGCACACGGACGGCCCAGATCTCACGCGTACGGACGACCAATATTCAATCAGGCACGGATGGCTCAGATTTAATCTTAAATAAATCGCGATCGGACGGTCCATATTAAAACTTGATGGACGATTGAGATTAAAAGGGGAAGGGTATAAATAACCCCACCACAAACCTTAGCCGCCAGTGCCTCGCAGTAGAAGAAGAACCAGACGCCGGAGGAGCCGGCCGCCGCCACCTGCCGCCGCATCAGAGAATTTTCTGACTGCCAATCGAGGTAAATTTTCTCCCCCTGGCTCCTTTTTCGATGCTGAATCTGCCTATGGCCAAATCGGAGCCAAACCACCGGCCAATCAGCCGGAAAACTTCGCCGAAGTCCAGTGGCGCCGCGCGGCTTCTCTCTGTTTTTGCCTCCGATGAGGCCCTTCCCGGTCTCCGTTCGATGCAATTTTTATACCACTGTGATCACCGTCCTTTTCTCTACAGGTTGACCGGAGCAAAACATCAAAACGCGACTCGCGCCGAAGAAGCCGCTGCACCCGAGAGCATCACCGTCGGTAAGTCTCGGATTTTCATATTTTTTGGCCCACTGAGGGCCCTAGGGTTGTTTTATCGCAGGGACTGATGCAAGTTTGGCCGAATTCGGCCAAAAACTGTAGAAAAAGGCCAACCAGAGGCGGATCGCCACCACAAGCGACAGCACCGTCGCCGGAGCACGGCAGAGCCGCCATGCCGGAATTTCGATATTGGCCGAAAGGGGCCCTAGGTCTGATTTGTGATTTTTTGGGACACGTGTAGGTACCGGTAGTGCGTTTCAGTTTTTTGGAGAAAATTCAGGAAATTTAGGGACAGTCCGTAGGCGCACTGTAAAGCCAATTTCATACCCCAAAACAAGTAAGGATCTCTCACCCTACCTCTTATCACGGCATTAAAGCTTAATAAAAAAATTAAACTGTAGTTTTTGACTTTATAGATATGTATAATTGATTGAGGTTGCTAATGGAGCTCGAATCTGATACATTGTTGGTCAGGTGTTGTTCGATCTATTTTTCAATATTAAATGTAGTATGATATTTGATGTATTTATTTTATGGTCTTGTATGCATGAATCATGATTTCTTTTATTATGGTTTATATTATGGTGAACCCGATACTGTGTTGTCTTGTTTGGTGTCAATTACTGGTTTACATGTTTGTGTATGATTGGATGATTGAGACCAAGAAAGAGGGTAAAAAGGTTATGTGAATTGATAAATGGATAACGTGGACAGCCTGACTAGATATCCTGGGAGATGGTGGACGGACCGGGTCCGTAGGGAACCCTACTAGGAACGTGGTCTCTCATACCGAACGGGGTATGGAGACCTTATGTGTTTTGGCGCCCATACTGGACGAGGTATTGGGACGACCAGTTTCACCCTCATACCGGACGTGGTATTGAGGTTTATGGTTTTGGCGCCCATACTGGATGGGGTATGGGGACGACCTTGAAATCAGGTTATTAATGTTAATGGTTACGTGTAGCGGGGACCCCTATGGATCCCCATGGATACTAGTAGACTGATAAAAGAGGAAATTTATTGTCTGATTATTGAAGTGCCAAAGTATGACATGTGTTCTGTTACAAAGTCGATATGATTTTATAATGGTTATAATGTTATTGTTTTCATATGTTATTTTCATGAATCTCACCGAGGTAAGTGGACAGTAAAAGTTTTTATGTTAATAAATGAGTTTGTTATAAATTATGCTCCATTGGTTGTTTTTGTTTTCTACCAACCTTTACTACTGTGGCAGTGAGATAGTGTGATGTCTTTACTGGGCTAGTGTATCTCATTCCTTATTTAACCATTTCAGATCAGGAAGACGGGGTTACTGAGCTCGTTCCGCATGAAGACGGCGAGTTAGACGCCTAAAGACTTCATAGTTCTATTTATAGTTTTTATTTCGAGTATCTCTTTTAATTAGCTTATTCTTTCATGTTTTGAGTACGTTTTTT